ATCTTTTTTTCCCTGTTGACTTGAATATTTACATATACACATAAAAGTCATTCAAAAGGCCCGACAATGGGTGAAGCAAATCTTTTTGAAACAGTAAATTCTGACTTTAAAAGCCTGCAGATTGGTGGTCTTTGGAGTGTAAATTAAATTTCTCTGCTGTATTTTAAAAAAGGTGCAGTGTAGACCCAGCGCTCTGTTTTGAAATGGCAAGAGGATTAATGGCACTGATAAGTGGGGTTGGTGTATTAAGCTAAGTCCTTTGAGAGTTGCTATTTCTATTTCAGCTATAATTTGTGGAACATGGATTTAAAGTATTACAAAGACAAAAAGAGAAAAGGCAACAGAGAGAGAGAAAGAAAGAGAGAGAGACAGGAGGGACTGTGACTTGCAAGGGAAAAGGTTCAGATATATGCCTCTTTGGGCTCACTGTGCTTGTATGCCGGTGAACTACAGTGAAACAGACGGAGAACAAATGTGAACACAGGCAGACATTCACAGACGCACACTGTGACTTTTTCTGCATGGCTGGAGGTACATATCGGGAGCTGCAGCGGGGGCAGAGGCCAGATGGTGCCTTTGAGGTTGGAAGCTGAAATGTAGAAAGGTAGAACAAGGTGTGTGGGTGTGGGTGTGTGTGTGTAAAGTATGATGGTGTTTGGAGTTTTGGCCTAATACTCTGGCTGAGGTGTTGGGAGCACAGCAGCATTTGAAGGCAAAATACAGAGAGAAGCAAAATTTTCCTGCTACTGTGACAATTTAATCTGTCTGTTGCATTTCTCTCCAAGAAATATTATCTGGTTTACTAAAAGTGATGGGGTTCATTTTAAACCATTTCTCATGCACCACGGCTTCTTTATTTATTCTGTCTCGATTGTGTAAAAAAAGCATCCTCCCACTCACACTACAGTTAATCTTTCACACAGAGTTAAAGTCCTTTTGTTTTAAACAAAAAATGTAAAGATTGACATATTTTCACACTTTAGAAGACGTCAGCCTTAGCTCACAAGCTTTCCACAAATTACAAATGCTATTGTGTCAACACAACATGCTCCATGCTCAACACCATGTGAATCTGAATGAGGGATTCACAAAAGGTACCTTGTGCAGGATGTAGGAGAAGTGGGATGAGGTCTCCATCTAGTGTTCATCCTTTTCTGTTTCATTACCACAGCTTTCTGAATTTCTACAGCAAAGGTCAGTTTTTGCTTGGTATTAACATGAAATTGAATAACTAAATACTTAAATATTTAAATGTCGGGGGACAACATCAGCTTCATGTAGCCTACATACTATCTATTGTCTAAAAAACCTGTTCTGGGTTGAGATGAATAGCAATTGAACACTCTTGCACAATATATGGTTTTGTCCTTTGTTCCACTGATGAGAAATTGGTAACATTGCAGCTTATACTAGTAAATATTTTATTTGTTACAAATAGGTGCAAAACACAGACTACTGTGTCCCATGTGCAGCTTTGGGACTCTGATCACTGACAGACAGTCCCGTTGGTCCCGGGGTGCTGTTTCTCATAACACTCTCTTCCACTAGGCCACTCTCTGCTCCCCCGCCTTTAAATGCTCGCAGTCTATCTGGCACCAGTTGTCATGCATTTGATATACAGATTGGATACAACAGACAGGGAGGTGTCTAACACATAGACACAGAGAGAAGCCAAATACTCCTCCAGGCTTTTATCCTTAGACAATATCATCATTCAGTTTTACAACACTCTTAGGTTATATGTCAGTTAGGCACATGAGCATTTTAACAAAATTCCCATAACATCAGTTTTTTTATTATGGAACTGTGTTTTGACGATGTAAAATTTAAGTTATGTGGAATAATGTTTATTTGCAGATTGTATGATGAAAGCAGTACTATGTGGTGAACATGTCTCCTTCTGTTTGATTCCTCAGAAAGCAAAAGTTTTTTGTAGACTTGTTGGACGTTCTTTATTAGTGGTTATTATTTATTGATTAATTTAAATTTTTGATAGCTATATTGTCTTCATGTGTCTGGCTATCAGTAAGCCAGTCTTTAGCTATTATTTACCATAGTTCCAGGTATGTAAATATCCAAATGCTTTACTTAAGTCAAAATACCACAATTTAAAAACACTCAATTATAAGTTAAGGTCCTGCATTTAAAACTAAATGGACAGTATTAGTAAATGGAAATCTATGACCTGGATGACTCTTGAAACTTGAAATCAGTAAAATGTACTTAGTATCAAAACTGACAGTGGGAGTTCTGGTTTATTCTGGTTGGTGTTTACATCCCACCTCAGGCCTGTGTTGGTGAGGCGTCAGTGAACACCTGGCTGACCAGAAAACTAGCATGGAGCATAATCATCCAGACTCCCTGCTCATTGTTACGGGACTTTAACAGAGCAAACCTCAGCCACAACTTGCCAAAATAGTGACAGCACATGAATTGTTCCACCAGGGATAAAAACACACTAGACCATTGCTATACCATAATAAAGGACACCTACCACTCTGTCATATGTGCAGCTTTGGCACTCTGATCACTGTCAGGTTCATCATAGCCTGTGGTCAAGAAGTATCTCATATCAAAAAGTATCTCATCAAATGAGAGGAGGTTTACATAATGTGTAATGTATACAAATACTCTTTCAAGTAATACATAAATAAACTTGTAAGTGCTGAATTAATATGCCCCTTTATGTTTTAATTTATATATTGCAGTGACGTGACAGTGCATTTCACAGCATTGTGACCTTACTTAATGTAGGAATTAGTTGGACCAGTCATTGTTGTGCTGATATTTTAAAGCAAGTGCTTGCCTAGTAGTTTTAGTAGTTTTGAACAGCTTTACCCTGTCTCTATGTTCATTAATCTGATGCGGCAGATTTGTTACACATACTGTAGCTGTGTGATCTCGCAAATCCATCTGCCTCGCCAGGTAATATGTCTGTGAAAAAAGCCAGCCAAACCAGACTGCCCTTTTTTCTTCAACAAACTTCGTTGATCTCACCTAATAAAATGTGAAATGTGTATATAAGAGTCTGTTAGGGGACTATGCAATTGAGAGACATGGTTCCTGTTCTTTGGAAATTGCACAAACATCAGTGGAACAAATAAGTTTGATCCTGAAGCAGCATAACAGGTTTCATATCAGACATGTCCTGAATACAGTAAAGAACTATGGTAATGACTACTATGTATTATACTAAGATACTGTGCTGACCAACCTTTAGAAAAGAGTTCCTTGAATGGAGGCACCAATTTATGGTTTCATTGATATATTTTTGAAGTTACTGTTGGGTATGCTATATAAACAGTATAATAATATACATGCCTTTGGCTACAAAGTCAAATTCAACAATTATAGTACATAGCTGATGCACATAAAGGGTCCATTTCTTATTGTTTTACTAAAGGCAATGCAGCCCCCATTGGAAGCATGACTTATGAGGACCACATGAGGGCAGTATTACACCAGACTGTATCCCCAGCTCTAAAGGCCGGGGCATACAGTACTGTTATTAAATCCATCCATCCATCATCAACCACTTATCCTGTGTACAATGTCGCGGGGGGCTGGAGCCTATCCCAGCTGACATCAGGCGAAAGGCGGGGTACACCCTGGACACTTCGCCAGTCCATCGCAGAGCCGAGAGGAGATCACTGCAGATAATTCTAGTCCCGGTAAAAACCTCCTGAACGGTGAACACTGAAGTAATCCTAACCAGGGGAAGCTGACTGCAATGAAGGCAATGGTGGTGAAGACAACAGCTCCTACAATCCCACGCTACTTCACGACAAGCTCAACCTACATCTTTTGTTATTGTTTGGAAGTGAGAGACCCCTAGCAGCAGAAAATTACATACTGTGTGTTAAAAAGATTTCTGTATTTATTTAGAGTTTTGCAGCATGGCTTTAACCATTGAGTTGGATGAGTGTGTTGTTTTCTTTGGATTATGTTGGATTAGAGCAATTTGTGCAGACTTGTTATATGAATCTGAAGGGACACTTGTGTCAGTGAAAATGAAACAATTTTCACATCTTAAAAGCACAATCCTAAATGTAATGGAACTTGTTGTGTAATGTGATGCTGCCAATGAAGCGCCTTTTTGGCAGCCTAAACAATTCACAGAACTTAAAAGAAAATTCAAGAAAATGGCACGCTAGCGCCCCTAAAGAACAGGAAGTCATTGTAACATCACTGCACATGCAGTACTGTTTGTATGTACAGTATGGCACTTAAGTATTGTGACATAAAAGTTCACCAAAAGGAGGTAAGCCTTGGGATTCGTTCCTCCACAGTACACTTTAGTTTCTAAAAGACAAGTAGTTCTAAACATTGTTAATCATCTTTAATTCTACTTCAATAATCTTTTTGAAGTCAGCACTTACCTTATAATAGATGTGACTTTAGTCAGTGTAGTATTTCCACAGACATGTTTTACAATGGGTACAAAGGTCAAATACCATGCAAGTTAATTATCTACTCCCTAAAGACAAAAATGTGAGACTTTAAATGGGTGACAACAGTGATGCACTTTAACATCTATAACATGAAAACTTTTGCAGCAACATGATGCATGTGTGAATATTTCCTCAGGGTCACCAAGATCAGAGTTTTGGACATTATTAGGGTTGTATTTCAATAAGTTGACCTGCTTCTGTGTACGCTAGGGCAGAGAGCTTATTGTTTAAACACAAGATCTCCATTTCCTTAGCAGGAATTACACAAGCTTCAAGAGAGACTGTCAATAAGATAAGTGGAAAACAAAGTAAATATGATGTAACTATACCATAAGATAGTTCCAGTTATCCCTTTTAATGGTTCGCCATCTATCTCTATCTAATTTCTCAGTATGCATTTATAGTGTGTAATGATGCTTTTCTTCTAATGTTGAAGCCTGTTTCCGAAATGGACTAGAGTCAAAAACTACTAACACAGTTGTACCACAATGTTTCTCACCCACGCACTCATACACACTTTAAGTATACATATTGAACAAAAGTTAACAGTCTCTTTAAGGAGATGTCCTTTTTTATTGAGATAATTGGAAAAGTATAAACTATAAAATGGTTGTACAACAATCCATATAAGATAGTTTTGCAATCTCGCTGATATGTGACCTGAGCATTAATTTAATCTTTTTGCTTGACAAACCAGGTACAATTTGCGTTTGTATTGTACAGTAGCTCAGGTCTCCTTATCCCTATGGTGATGAGACATGTCTCATTACCATAACAAACATACAGCAGAAAGGGAAATTTGAAACAAGGCACCCATGTATCCCATGAGGACTCAAACCTTCCACAGGTCTGTATCCTTACGTATCAAGGCACAAGATCCTTCATGCAACATGAACCTTCCCAACTGTGACCAACAGCAAATTATGTTCATTTGTTCCACTATGTAACATCTTATGAACTTATGTCTTATGAACAGAAAGTTTTTCCCACTGTACCATTTGTGCACCCACACCCCCTACCACACTACTCTGCCTGTTGCAATGCTTATGCTAGAGTGGACACGGTAGATATAACCGACGGAGGAAGTGAGTATGCTGGTATATGACAACGTTTTACAGGAAATGGCGATGATAGGTCAAATTTGCAGTGATTGGTCAAAATTGCAAGTCGCGCTGAATTCAAGGGAAGTTGTTGAATTTGTGTTAATAGTTGCAATCACAACATCCCAAAATCCTGAAAGGACTGTGTAGTATTCCTACTTCAATATGTCTTAATATCAGGAGTGCAATGTATCGTATTTTTTCCAGTGAAAATACAATGTATTGCTTTTAACTCAAGAAAATTATGGCCGATTTGGACAACATGCTCAGTGGAATCACCCTATTGTGCGTAGAAATCTGTGAATGGCATTCCTCACATATTTCTCACTTTCTCTCACTGAACTGAGCAGCACTCTGAAACCACACCTTCTCCACCTGCTCCTTTCCAAGCTCCCAGAGTTGAAGGAGAAAATGGACGCCCTTCCTAGATGAAATCATAAGATACTCTTCATTTTCCGGATGCAGGGTCACGGCGTGACGCGCTAAAACCAACGACTGGCAGAAGCGGGACAGCACCAGCACATAGAGACAGTCTCTCTCTGCGTCATTGAGGGGAAGGACACTTTCCCAGCCCGCGAGGAGAGGTCCACCCACCTCTATGGGTTTAGGGTGCTCCATCATCATGTACGTGATAGCGATGGCTAGCTCATGGATATAGTAGCCACTGTTCATGTCACCAAAGTCAAGGATGCCAGAAATCCTGTGGCTGTCACTCTCATCAGGTTGGACAAGCACATTGAGGTCATTGAAGTCACCGTGATTAACGCCTTAGAAAGGAAAGAAAATGCTGTTGTTCATAGGAACCAAAATACATTATCACTCACGTATTCAATGGCAAATCCAGTCTTTGCTGATCGTATATTTGCGGCCATGTATAATATACATGTGGTGGAGAGAAACTCATGAGTAAATATTATACTCACACTTGCGGAAATCGGAGCGCTTGGGGATCACAGAGGTCTTGTACTGATGAATGACAGAATTCACGACCTCATGAAGAGGATCTCCATCAAATAAATTGATGTATGCTTCCAAGAGGGGAACATTTGACAGACTCCATATGAACTTCTCTCTCTGCAGCACGCTTAGATGAGGGTGCTCCATCTGAAAGAAAAACAAAACAATAATATTACACATATGAGGAAGGCAGAAGAAATGCATAAAGAAGACATAAGTAAAAGGAAGATTGCTTAGCAGTTCCACAGGTATAGCTTTACATTTAATGAGCAATGAAGGGCTAGTGCTATACTAGGCTTTATTAGATACACATAAATACATATCAGAATCAGCTTTATTGCCAAGTATGTGTACACATACGAGGAATTTGACTCAGGATTGTACATTGCTCATGATGTGCTTACTCATACAAAAATACCATAACAATAATAAAACAATAATAAAATAAAATCAGACACAAACTACAGTATAGGCAACACCAATATACACACTATGAACACAACAATATAGACATATTGACAAATAGTGCAGTGTTTCAGAGTGCAAAGGATGCAAGAGAAAACTATTCTCATTATGTACATGTTGAAGGTGGATATAATATACAGGTACACATACACATACATGCATCCATGTACACAGTGTGATGGAGCATAGTGCAAAGGATGCTGGAAAAAATAAATAAGACCTATGACCTTATGACCCGAGGTAGGTGTATTGGTATACAGTATATACAATGACATAGTATGAACAGCACTGAAATAGAGAATGGAAAATAAATAAATAATAAGTGGTAACCAGTAAACCCGGTGGCTGATTAGAGACAGAGTTACTGGGTTATTGCACAGGAATTGTTCCTGACACTGTGAGTCAGAAATCAGCTGTTCATCAGAGTGATGGCTTGTGGGAAGAAACTGCTTCTGAGTCTGTTGGTTTTGGCGTACAGTGCTCTGTAGCGCCTACCAGAGGGGAGGAACAGGTTGTGTCCGGGGTGAGATGGATCTGCAGTGATGTTTCCTGCCCGTTTCCTGACTCTGGAAATGTAGTCCTGAATGGGGGGCAGCTTGGCACCGATTATTTTTTCTGCCGTCCTGACTGTACGTTGTAGTCTGCTCTTGTCCTTTTTGGTGGCAGATCCAAACCAGACAGTGATGGAGGTGCAGATAACAGACTGGATGATGGCTGTGTAGAACTAGATAGGCAGGTTGAGCTTCCTGAGCTCCCACTTCAGGTCCTGGGATATAATGGAACCCAGAAACCTGAAGGATTCCACAGCAGACACGGGGCTGTTGAGTATGGTGATGGGGGGCAGAGTGGGGGGGCTCCTCCTGAAGTCCACGGTCATCTCCACAGTTTTGAGCGTGTTAAGCTCCAGGTTGTTCTGACTGCACCAGAGAGCCAGCTGATCACCTTCCCGTCTGTAGGCCGACTCGTCACCGTCCCGGATGAGGCCGTTGTGTCGTCAGCGAACTTCAGGAGTTTGACAGATGGGTCTCCTGAGGTGCAGTCGTTGGTGTAGAGGGAGAAGAGCAGTGGGGAGAGCACACACCCCCCTAGGGGGCGCCAGTGATGACAGTCCGGGTGCTGGATGTGATGCAGCCTCACCTGCTGACTCTGGTCAGTCAGGAAGTCTGTGATCCACTGACAGGTGGAGGCTGGCACAGTGAGCAGGGTGAGTTTGGTGTTGAGGATGTCCGGGATGATGGTGTTTAACGCCGAGCTGAAGTCCATGAACAGGATCCTTGCATATGTCCCAGGAGAGTCGAAGTGTTGCAGGATGTGATGCAGACCCAAGTTGATAGCATCATCCACAGACCTGTGAACCAAGGTTTTTGGTTGTTGTATGTGAGAAAGATTTTAGTCGGCACACACATGTCCTCACAAAAACTGATGCAAGATGTCACAGTGTCAGTTAGCTTGTCCAGGTCAGTGGCTGCAGCCTCAAAAACACTCCAGTCAGTGCAGTCAAAGCAGGCCTGTAACTCCAGCTTTGACTCGTCGGTCCATCTTTTCAGTCTTTACAACAGGTTTAGCAGATTTCAGTTTTTGCCTGTGTGTCGGGAGAAGATGAACCAGAGTGATCTGAGAGTCCCAAGGCTGCACGGGGAACAGAGCGATAGGCGTCCTTTAATGTTGTGTAGCAGTGGTCCAGTGAGAGAATCTGGATGTTTTTTCTCCACGTTAGTTATCTGGTCTGCCACGTGTAGTAACGCCTCAATAACACAGGCCTGAGGTGGAATGTAAACAGCGACCAGAACAAACGAGGAAAACTCCCTCGGGGAATAAAACGGTTTACAGTTTATAAATAATGTCTCTAGGTGAGGGCTGCATGATTTCTTCAACACTGTGACATCTGTGCACCAACCTTCGTTTATATAGAAACAGAGTCCGCCTCCCCGTGTTCCCTTTCGCGACCCGCGCGGATGAGATTAAATCCCGGTAGATGAAGTGTGTATGTGTATATATATATCTGAATTCAAATAAAAAATAATGCAGAAATGGGTGACAATGAAATAATGATAGTAAATGCATGACTCAAAACAACACCAATGAATGACATCACAAAACAAAGTAAATGATCTACAAGTTTCCCCGGGGGGGGCCCATTATACCTCTTGTAGGATTTTGTCCATTCGGGCTGCTGTCTTGCCAGTTTCAAACAGTAACTGTGGTGTTAACGGTGCCTTTGAAATAGTGGTTCCAGGCAAATAAGTCAAAGCCGCACCAGATACTTCTGACAGCCGTAGCCACAATCTGCCAAAGGAAAAGACAGAGTTAGTATTGGAGCCATTTACCTCACTCTTAGCCTGACCTGTATATTATGGCTTGCCTTAATCAAGCGCACACATATGAAGGTAAAGTTTTGATTGCTAATCTGTCCTCTTTGATTAAATTAAGCTACTAAGCTTGGGAAGTGAAATAGTTTTGCAAGTCCAAAAATTCTGTGAGTCAAAATGGTTGAGATAAGTGTTTCTATTGTGGGGTTTGACCCCCCCCCAAATCATGGGTTTGGATTGACTGCACGGCCACAGCCACAATCCCCTCGCTGCCTTGCTGTCTGTCTGTTAGCTGTTACCAGCTATTTCCAGCCACTGAAATTGACTTCTCAGCCGTGTTTGTTCCTTTTATCATGCAAATACCAGATGAATAATATTGCTTTGTGTGCGGTTAATTGTACTAACAGACAGTTCATGAAGCCCGTGCTCCTGTGTTTTAGGTGAGCAAAATTATTTATGTGATAGCAATAATAAGCAGGTATTGGTTTCTGCATACATAGCATGTTAGATTAGAGCGTTCTGCATGCCCGCCGAGAATTGCATGCACCTCCAAGCAGTATTTAAAAAACGATATACTATTCATTGTGGGGTTCTTATTCTTGGTGATGATCATTTTTTGAACATTTAGAGTCATCAGTATTTTATTACCCTTAGTAGAAGTGGCATTTCTTTGAAATTCAGCAACAATATGTGCTGAAAACTGCATTTTATCTACGTGCAAAGTGTCTGGAACGGACTTTAAGAGGTAGATACATTATTGGCAGAATAGATGTTTTAGGCTACCTGCTGAGATTTGCATCCACTTCCTTTCTCAGTAACTGTGAGTGTTAACTCACACGAGGTGCATGCAGAACTCGGCACAACACTGATCTCGTGCCGGTTAGGGCTGCTGGCAGAGAAAACAGGTAGCTGGGCTGTAGGGTGAGGTTCTGAGTTATGTAAAGCTAGATTACTAAGAAAAATTAGGTGAGCATTGTTGCAAAAAATGTTCTCGCACTTTTATTTTGAGCCACAATCACTTAAAGGAAGTGATTATGTGAGTAATTGTAGCTGTCATGATAGACTAGTGCTGAAATAGATCTATCAATTTATATATTTTTTTTTCTGCTATCAAAGCAATCTGGCTGCGGGCCAGATATTATTGTTGGCGGGACAGTTCTGGCCCACGGGCCGCCAATTGCCGACCACTGCTCTAGGCTATATAGATGCAATTTTCTGGAAATAGCGTATAACCTCTACATCTTATTGTTATTCCTTAGGTAAATGTGTGACTGGTCTCATACCTATTTCTTCCAGGCTCATGAGCTGTCCAGAGGTGGTGGGCAGGGCTGTTTGGGCAGGAAGTCCATTTTGGTGCAGAAAGGACATGGCATAGGTCTGCACCTCAAACAGGGTGGGGTTCTTACTGTCCTCTGAGTTCATTATCTTCAGGACATACTTGCCACCCTCCACTGCTGTCACACAGAAGTTCTGGTCATCGTAGCTTGGCAGCGAGCGAATTTCTGATGGCGTCAGCCTGAAGAGTCTCTTCACCAACTCAACCACCTGAGACTGGCTCAAGTTGGGCTTGGAATGCTTCACTGACATGATTGCTGAATGAAAATAACATGCTATCAGCAAAAAAGATGTTGCAGAGACATACCAAACAAAAGCATCCAAACTAACCCACTTTCTAATGAAACTGCCAAAAAGTGTCTTAGAGCAACAACAAATTAATTGAATTCGGGGAACCTGTGATGGGCATTTGCCCTTATTTTCTGGTATCTCATATACAGAAAGATTAATGACTGAATCTGGAAAATTAAAGTTGGCGGCAGCCCAACTTCCTATAAGTTTCAGTTCCTTCAAAAATGTTTTTCACATGCACTGACAATTGTTTAAATGCTATACTATACGGTACTTTCTTGCAACGTGTACACGCTGGAGTCAAACTAATCTTTCATTCTTCTGCCTTTATTAATGACGGTGATAACACGCGAGAGAAACATAATGTCGCCATAATCTGCAGACATACTTTACTAACGTTACACACACACAACGCTGAGCACAGCGGTTTTGATAAATCATGTGACAGTTTGAGTGTTAAAAGTTATAAACAATAAAATCTATGCAGAGCATTTCCCCTATTTTATGAGTTGATCCCATGACTGTAAAGTTAGCTTGGTGGCTTTAGTTGAGTGACGTTCTTGTGTTCAATTGTATGAGATATCGCTAACGTTACGCTAGCTATCATTAGCTACATGAAATAACAGCCACGATGTCTAATAATAACAGACAACACTATTCACATGTCAGTAGACCCACCTCAGGCTGTGTAAAACCATAGACTGTATGTGTAAAACGGAATAACAGGTAACGTTAACAGTTACATGGTGTGAGCACCGAAGACGTCCTACTAACTCATGAAGTCTGTAAAAAAAAAAAAAAAAAAAGCTGCTTCCGGTAGGATTTTTCAAAATACAACTTATTAGTGTAAAATGTTGAAGATTGTAGGTTTTGACAGTAACACAAAGCGAGATTATAGTTCGTATTTTAGGGAGAATCCATAGTGTATTGTAATTAATCAGATCTTTTCACAGCATACAAAATGTGTATGTCTAGCACATAGGGTCTAGTACTAGTGTCAAATCATGAAAAATATAACTTCCGGTTACTAATTTCGACGGTAAGAGAGCTGGATGCAAAAGAACAAGCGAATTTCGGGGCAGTAGGTAGCAAATCGGCACAGAATTAAAATAAAATGCGTGTGCAAACACACACTGCGTTTGTGTCTAAAAGGAACACTATATTGGCAAATGTATGTACCTTTTTCCTCATTTTGCCATGTTTTAACAATGATACGATTAGATGCAGCTCCTTAAATTGATTTATTATTTCCATATTAACGTATTAAATTCAACAGTTCTCTTTGTGTGCGTCTCTCTCCAACACACACACGCTGCTGCAGCAGCTGTGTTGTGTGCGCCTGGACGCAGCAGTCTAAAGTTGAGTACCATCGTGTGATGGATTTTAGAATCAGATTGTGTCACCTAGACTTTTGTATTTGCAAAGTACATAAGTCAAAGAGAAAGTTATAAGGAGCATGGCCGGTGCTTTCATTGTCAAAATCCTGAAACGTCACTAGAAACAGCTGAGTACAGGAGGTGTCCACAGTGCTGAAAAGACGCAGACTTTTTCGGGCAACTTCAGTACAATAACTTCCCGAATCACAACAACCACTTTCCTCTTCGACAGAGAGGCAAGACATTATGGTGGTGAATAAGAAAGACAAGTGGCCAACTTATAAAACAACACCATGTTCTGGAAACAGGCCAGGCGCACACAGTCACGCACATCCACACAATTAAACAGGTAGGCCTACTCAGTGGCGACCCACCTGACCACGAAATGATAACAGCCTGTAAAACAACGGCATGGCAGCCACATCAAATCCAAGCTGAAAAAGTACTTGTAAAGTTACTCACCTGTTTGAATGGCATCCGACGAGCCTGCATTGAGCGAGATCTTTGACAATGTCCTCCGTAATCCAAAACAATGTAATGTGGGAGCTTTGCGACCCTCTCCTCCTGTTCTTTTCTCTCCTGTCTCTTCTTATAACTACTTTTTATGTGTGAATAGCATCGACTTCCAGTTTGCATGTGTGGTCTAGTCTACTGGCCAGATTGTGCTAGTCCTGTCGTCTTGTCACATGATCAAATAGAAACAGTCAGAGACAGTCATTTACATAGTACCCAGCAATGATCATTGCATATGTATATGTAATATAGCAGCCAACTTTTTTCCCCTGAACTCTTGTAAGTTTTTTTAAACTTTCAAAGAGATCTGAATTCATTTATTATTCTAATTTCTAATCCAAACTTTTAACTTCCCCTGAGACTGTGGATTCATATACGCCTTCGCTATATGTTACACAGTTTCCAACTGGTCAGCAATGGCATGAGATGTTTTTTATGCCTGCATGTTCCTCCATTTGGCGTGGATCATTTAACAAGCAGACTGCGAGTTACAGTCAGTATTCTGACATTTGCTCATAGTCCTGGACTGCACCTAGTCCTGATAAAAACAAATGTTGCTGTGTAGATAAGAAATGCCACACTATGCCATTTTAATAATTTTATATTGTTGATAAAAAAATATTTATTGGTGCAGCTTTAAATATAGGCAACTAATAATTTGTTAAGATTAGGGATTGTTTTTATGGTTAAAGCAAAAATCAACGCAACTTTTAGCTTTGGCTTTAACATCCACAACACAGGTCATTCTAATCAGTTTGAAGAAATGACATAAGGTTACTGAAAGATTTGCACTTAATAAACTTTGTCAAAAAATACTCCATTAGCTTTCTATTATAGTCAATAAATTTGCAATCAAAAACTTATCTGGAGACGGTCAAGAGTCGGTGCAAAAAGAGTTTATTCCAAAACAGGACACATAAACCCGTACAACATCCCAGCAGGTCGGAGGATGAAGTCAATCCTATGGTCTGCAGACAGTTTTATATATATCTCTTCTGGGCTGGTTTGCCCCCTCCTTTCCTCATGATGAACTTCTTTTCTTCTGTTATTGTGTTGTTTTTACCAATTAACACAGTATTTTTAAAGGTTACGCATGCTTAATTTGACACACAATTGTATTTTTTAAACAATTAATATAAGAATAACATAAGTAAAGTTACATTTTTCATTAATGCTTGGTTTCTTACAGCATTCTTGATGTTATGCTGGCTGCTTTCTGCTTATTATCTGTCTGTCGTGTTTTTACTAAGCATCTGACATTTTTTTGGTCATGTTTTTGCAAAGCATGAATTCCTTCAGCAAGTTCACTCAAAGCTCACACTGGCTATAATAACCAGAGGTTGGAAGTTCACAATGAAACCCCTTGATCAGTAATTAAGCATGTAGTCTTAATATTAGCAGATTAACACATCAGCAGTTCCTCATGTAATCACAACAGTAGATAACAGCAGAACGAAGCATGCACTGTCACAGTGTCAGCAGATCTTGCACACCTGCAGCCTCTCCTATGGTCATAATCTACAGTAGATGACAGCTGGACAAGGCAAACCACCTTCCTGCAGTCATTCCTCCCACTCGAGAATCTAACCACAGCGAGCTTGTTTCTGTGTTCATGACTACAGTTCACTACTTATAAATAAAAACCGAAGCACATCTAGGTAAAAAGAAAATGATTAAGACTGATTAATGATTAATAAAATGATTAAAAATGATGATTTAAGAATGATTACCTATTGATTAAAGTAACTGATTAAAGATAATAAAACTGATTAAAATGATTAACAGTGATTATTAAGGATAATCACTGATGACTGTTTCTTGACTGATGTCTAACTTTTTGTCTGCAATGCTCCCCCTCTCTGTGTCCTAGGCATGCCCTCCCCTGATCATGCTATTTTAACCAAAAACCTGACTTTGTGGAATAAGCTGGTGTCTCTTGTACTGTTCGCTATAGACAGGACATTCTTACTGTATTGATATATGTTTTGTAACACAATTTTCACTAATTCTGCTTCTACATTTTCCTTTGCTGGTGTTTTTGATGATGCCTTGCTGTGCTCACTCTGCTCCCAGAGCACACATGCCTGCTTACACACGCATGTGCTACTGTTACTGCCTCCTCGCAGCTAGACACAGAGAGGACCACACACTCTCAGAGCTATAGAGTTTCAGCGTTGTGATCTTAACTTTACACTATAAAATAACACTCTAAATGATGACAATAGCTATAGAGTTTTGACACTGTAATCTTAACTTTACACTCTAAAATAATACTTTAAATGATGCCAATGCAGACCACCTTCGATCTAACAATTAATGATAACAATTTAGGCTGTAATGTTCTAAAATAATTCTCAACCGTGCCAGATGGAATTAAAGGCTTTTTGGAAGTCAACAAAACAGGCATACACTTTTGTTTTCTTAATGTTTAATTCTTGATCAATTAGAGTCTGGAGGGTAAATATATGGTCCGCTGTGCGCAATTTGGTAACAAAATAATTTGGCATTCATGCAGAATATTGTGTTCATCAAGAAAGTTGACAAATTGTTTATTAATGATGTTGCAGAATATTTTTCCCAGGTTACTGGATACACATATTCCTCTGTAGTTATTTGGATCATTTTTATCTCCGGATTTATGAATTGGGGTTATTAAACCTTTGTTCCAGATGTCTGGAAAAGTTCCAGTTGATAGAATAGTATTGAATAGTTTTAGTATAGCCAATCTGATTTTATGGTCCGAGTATTTCAATACAAATTCGTTGAGGATTCCATCAATACTACAAGCCTTTTTCCTTTCAGGGACTGGATGACTTCTGTTAATTCTTGTTCTGTTCCATTTCATGAATATCTTGTACTGATCATAAGTTTTTGTAATATTACTGTATAATTCACTAAAGTGATTAATCCAAGTATTTCCATCTTGGATCACCAATTCATCGTGCTGGGTTTTGTTTAGGTTGTTCCATTTCTCCCAGATGGGACTCTAATGATTCATCAGTTTCACAGAGCTGGTGCTTGCTGTGTTGTTCTTTCTTTGTTTTTAGGGTATACTTGTATTGTTTCAGAGTGGCCTCTTATTGACAGCATATGTTGTGGTTATCTGGCTCCCTATGCTATTCATTTGATAATTTCGTTTAAGTTTTCCTTGGGTTTTTGCATTCAGTGTTGTAGCAGGTCTAAGCTACGTATAATTTTAACACAGTTATGAAAATTAATATTTCCAGGAATATTAATTCATGCCTCGAAACTAGGAGCACCACCTAAAGATTTGCTTGTCCGCCCAAGGCTTTAGGTCTCAATTACACGAATTTCTGGTAATTCGTTAGTTGTTAATGGTTCAGTTATTCTGAAATCGTAAACTCTAGTCAATCAGTCAATCTCAAATCTGAGGGTGAGTTCTATGTATAGGGACTAGATTCTTAATAACACACACACAACATCACTGTGCTCAAGATGAATTTATTTACTAACAAAAGAGAGTACAACAGTGGGGTAAATGTGGTAATATTACAGGGACAACAGTCAACATGACAACCAGGAGGTAATGAACAGGGTATGTTAGGCTCGATTGAATTTCAGTTTATATTGTAGAGGGAGAGAATTCTAGGAGTACGAGGGAACGAATGACCGAAATTATGTTGCATATTTAGTTTGACTAATCTAGGGATTTATTAACTGTAGATGGAGCCAACTAGAGAACACCAACGATTCACAGAGTGTGGTTTGTTTTGCCCTACCGTTGCCCGCAGTTCCTGTAGCAAGGCTCGACTGCCGGTTGGCTTGTGGAGTTGGTTCTGGCCCAAACCCCAGTGGCGTTTTCGAGTTGAGTTCGAAACCGGTGGATTTGTTCCGGAGTCCTTTGTGGGAAGCGCTTGCAGCAACGGGCCGTCAGCCCAGGCTTTCAC